GCCCAACTATCCAGCAGCCACAGTATTTACTATATCCAACCCCCCTTCAATTCCTGTATGGGAAAAGTGCGTCGCTGCGGAGGCTGTTGCTGCATTAAACAAATTGATTTCGGATGAGCCCATTGCCTTCGTCGGCATTGATAGAAATACTATACGATGTGTTCGCGTCGACGATTTCGAGAGCGCCCAATCGATATAAATATGTATGTATAGATGCGAGTACGAAATGTGGATAGCCAACAATCTGACTATGGCTTTTATCGGGATGTGGGGTCAGGGCATGCATCTGGGCACACCTTGTGTTTACCTTTGCCAATAAATTCACTTAATTGCCGGGAAATAATCATAAAGCAATCGCCCGTAATGCGAACGGTATACCAACTCCACGCTCATGTGCGCATCGATTATTGTGAAATATTTTTTCCAATTTACTGTGGGACTAAAAATATGCTAGAGCACGGCAAGATTGTTGAAAATGTAACATACAAATTATACAGAATTATGGGGAAATCGATTTGCTGCCAAAATTGGTAAACTTGCATCTGAATCTTTCTTTCATTGCGAGCCCAGCTGAATTTGGCATTTGTAAGATGTTCCCTATTAAATATACAATGCATAATTTGAAAATCTTAGGTATTCGAATGAGACAAAGTAAACTTTGAATTTACAATTCGACACAATCAAAAACTGTTCTGTAATAGCTTACAGGTATTTGACAATGTCGTCAGCGCTCAAGGAGATCGATTATCCACCAGTTTGACCGATATTTACCTACGAAGCACATTTGAATCTGTCATAAGGCTTTTAGCATTTCCGTATCATAAGAGACCCATAACGCAATCTGGGATTATATATGCCGATAGGACGGACTAGGCGTGTGGGTGAGCTGGCAGCAAGTAAATTAGATATAGCCGGAATAAATCGAATGGGACCAAAACAAAGTTATGCTGAGTGATTCCAAGTAATATATCAATAAATTAACCAAGCCAATGGCTCATGCAAAACGCAAACGCATCGAGCTTCGGCCAGTTCAATAATTCACAAACACAAGACACGGACACGGAAAGTCCAAAAACATTGTTCTGATATAGATATGTATTGCCCGGTTGGTTAGGTAGGCTAAAATTAAGTTATACGCCCCTAATAATATGCAATGCGTTCATTTATTCATCACCCAAAGTTGCGACACGACGCTATTCATATATTCAAAAATTTATCATAGTCTGACCGGGTCGGAGCCTCCTTACGTGACGGCATCGCCATCTCGCCGGTTATAGCAAAAATAATTTGTCAGGAATATGTGCGTAAATTTGTTTGATCCCACTTTCTGATTTTAATCTCTCTCGTCTCACCCACAGCGCCCATGAACAGCAGCAACAACGCTGCAATCACACCCATACCCATAACCGGACCCAGGTCCAGTGTCCAAGATAGATCTCGAATCAGTACCAACAGAAATTGTGAACCGAAGGAAGTGGAGCGATCAGCACCCACCGTTCTAGAGGAGAATGTGTTCAATATTTCGCAACCGCATCAATTACCGAAGCACAGGTACGCGCAGTGGCTCTTCTAATGGTGGCAGCTCGGTAGCTGCAGACCCTACAGGCGATAGCAGTCTGCTAGCCAAGGAGCTGAATGCGGACAGCAATAATAACGGCAGCGCAGCGGACGAAATGCCGGAGCCGGAGGCGGCGTTACAGCTAGAATCGGAGACATCGTTGCCCTGCGCTGATCAGCCGGAGAACAGTAATGAGGCGCTGGATTTATCGGTTATCTCCGGCAGCCGCTTGCCTACAAGCGGGCACGTGGCACTAGAAGCTTTACAACATACCAAAGTGGCGGTGGCACAGTTTGCAGCCACTGCGCTGGCGGGTACGACTGATCCAAATGATCTGGCCATGGTGCAATCGACGATCTTCAATGTACAGCGACAGCATCTGATGCAGCTGCAGCTCATCCAGCACCTACAGAGTCAATTGAAGCGGGCGGGTGGCGTGGTAGCTGCTCTGAGTAGGCCGGGTCAAAGTTATGCTGAACCTGAAGATGAAGATGAGGAGGAGGAAGAAGAGGAGCCGCCGCCGCCGCCGCCGCCGCCGCCGCTAAATCCTTCCAAAGAGCAGCCGAAACTAAATGGCGAGGAAGCAGAGATTGATCATGAAAGGCTGGAGGAGAGTTCAAAGACTGAGGAACAGGAAATGTCAATGGAAATAGAGGCAATATCCAATGAGTGCAATAGGGAACGAGAGGTGCTCCTCACCAAAATAGAACGCGACCGTGAAATTGAGGTTGAGGCCGAACGCGAGCTGGAGAGTGAATATAAGCCGATAATGTGCGATATCAGCTCTAGTCTGGCATCCAGTATCATTACCAATCACGACCCACCACCGGCGCCAAATGAGCCCAACTGTCTGGAGATGCTGCAACGCCGTACAGAGGAGGTGCTGGACTCGGCGTCGCAGAGCTTGCACGCCGCGCAAATGCAGGAGGAATATTCGGAATATGCCTCAAAGGAAGCACAGAGTCGTGGTGAGATCTTTAAGCATCGTTGCAAGTATTGTGGCAAGATTTTCGGCAGTTACTCGGCCCTGCAAATACACCTGCGATCCCACACCGGAGAGAGACCCTTCCATTGCAACGTCTGTGGCAGCAAGTTTACCACCAAGGGCAATTTAAAGGTGCACTATCAACGCCACACGCAAATCTTTCCTCCCATGCTGCTGCCGCCTGTGGTCAATGGGGGGCCACCGCCGGCAACGCCCGAGCAGTTTGCCGCTCTGCCACCTATTCGTTTACCCTTTGTGACGCCAGCGCCTCTGGCACCGCCTCCGCCGCCTAACGTAGGTCAACCTAGCGTGGATCATACACCGTTGGAACAGCAGCAGCAGCAAGAGCCGCAGTCGTTGACAATGTCGGGACATCTACAGCAGGCCGAGGATCTAAGCAAGCCGGCCAGAGAGATGTCGCACTCTCCCATGCAACCCGCGCAGACATCCAAATCTCAGCCTGAACGGAGCAGAAATCAAAGTGCAACGGATTCTGTCCAGCCGCCGGTAGCTTTCACCGAGAAACAAGAAAAGGATAAAACGAAGGACAGTCCAAAGCCAACGACGCCGCCGACGACGGCGAATCGTCGAAACGGCAGCGTACGTAAGCGTCAGACGAGCAATGCGGGCAGTCCGCCCGGAGATGATCGCGAACATCCCGAGCATCTACAGATTGCCAAGCTGGTGCGACGCTCTTCGGCCAGTCGTGATGGGACTGTGGCACTGCCAGGCGAGTACTCGTTGGCTCAGATGGAGCGCATCATTGACAAATCGTGGGAGGATCTCATTGAGATAGATAAGACATCGGAGACGTCAAAGCTTCAGCAGCTGGTTGACAACATCGAGAACAAGCTAACCGATCCGAATCAGTGCATTTTCTGCCAGAAGGTCATGTCCTGCCGCAGCTCACTGCAGATGCATATACGCACTCACACTGGCGAGCGACCTTTTCGCTGTAAGATCTGTGGACGCGCATTCGCCACCAAGGGCAACCTTAAGGCGCACATGAGCATACACAAAATAAAGCCACCCATGCGCAGTCAGTTCAAGTGCCCAGTATGCCACCAAAAGTTCTCCAACGGCATCATCCTGCAGCAGCACATTCGCATTCACACCATGGACGACGGCAGCGGCAATCAGGGGCATGGTCAGGGTCAGAGTCAGAGTATTGGGCTTGGTGATGCTGAGCGCTTGGGTATTGAGGATCAGAACTCAAACAAGTCGCTAGGCACCTCAGACACTTTGGACTTCTCAACCACCATATCAGACCACTCTGGGCAGCGCTCGGAGTCTTCGCAGGGAGGCGATTTCGACGAGTTCATGACCATGGACAGCACTGACGATTCGCGTGACAATTCAAGTGCAGCCACCGCCACACTACTTGACAGAGATAGAAGGACTGGCCATGATGACGAACGCTCCAGATCCGATATGGAAGGTGGTGGACGTGAAAGCACCAGCGGCGAGATGCCTGCAATGGACCTTTCATCGCCATCATCGTCGTCGGCGGCAACAGCGGCTGCGGCGAGGCTCTTTGGCGTCGGTAATAGTACAACAGCTGTTGGTACTGGAGCCCTACCGATGCTTGGCATGCCGATGCCTCCGAATCTGTTACTGATGGCGGCGGCGCGCGATGAGATGCATGCGCTAGGGCAAACGCATGCCAAGTTTCCGCTGCTGCCCTTCGGACCGCTCGGATTAATGGGTAAGTACGCAGCGACTGTCAAGCTGCGAAATGACAAAGCCTCTTTGTCTGTCACCTTTGACCCAGGCGATGTTTGCCATGAGACAGTGAGGCAGTAGCTTCACGCGGCCGCGGCACAATAAATCTGCGTTCTTAGCGCGACATAACTCAATTGGACCAAGACAAAGCATTTACAGCCCCATCCACACCCATTCCCCAATATATGCCACGTCTGCCTATGCCAAATTCCAAAATTTATTTATAAACTTTTCGCGCATTTTCAATTTCAATACGTGATCGGCGTCGGAAGGCAGCCCTCAATGAATTACGCTTTGTTTCATGATCGTGGCGTCATTATGTCACAATGTTTTATTCTGATGAAAATTTATTATATTGAATTTCGGTTCCTCTCGTTTCCAACATGCGTCGAAAGTTATGTCGTATCATGACTGCCTTGTGCTTGATTTGTTATTTCCTTGACTCTCTATTTTTAGGTCTGCAGCCGCCCCCAAATGTGTGCAATTTGTGCTTCAAGATGCTGCCCAACCAGGCTGCCCTGGAAACTCATCTACAGAACGAACATGCCAAAGAAATGACGGTTCCTTCCGCCCGAGCCCACTCCAACGAAACTATATCACCGTATGGGCCAAAGGTAAGTTTGTTTTCGGTTGTTTGTTGTTAAATCTTTTCAAATGGGACTTGTAATAATTTAGCTGGGTAAGGACAAGACTTTGACAAATTTAAACTGCTCTCTTGAAATGCTGCAAAAACGAATAAATATCCTCGAAATGAAATGCGCTTCTTAAACAACATCTAATGATGAGAATTAATGCCAGCTGTGCAAATAGCTTTGTTGCCGCTCCGAATCGCAATGCATACATATAGAGAGCCTGGTCTTGGCATCATTAATGAAATTGTTATGGCCAGAAGTGCTCAAGAGTGGGCAACCCAATATGGACAGAAACTAGGAAACTGGGTAGACTCCCGTTTAGGCAGGTCCATACAAATTATGAGCTTATTATTAATTGCTCATCTTGCTCTTGTTCACGACTTTGGCATTATTATGAAGAAATTGTGGCCAAGTTGCATAGTTTGCCTTAATTGTCGGCGTTCCGCTTGGCGGTCGCATCTAAAGAAGAAGAAGAAAAAACATTGAGGTTGAGAGTTTAGCTCGCATTGCCCAGGGCCTTGTGCATGTCTTAAAGCGCTGAGATTACACCACACAACAACGCCAATTATTTATTAAAGTGCGTTCGTCTTTGAGCTAGTATGGTTTATTACAGAAACACGAGCGCGGGGAAGCGGCAAGTCTGGTCTGCGCTCAACGTTCTATATAGTATGTGTCTACGTTGTTGAGCAGCCATGTGGCTGCCCATAACTTAAGCACAAATGCGAGAATTAATATTTAAGAATGTTCGTCCGCAGTTTCATGTTGTGGTTCTGCCTTGCGCGCAATGCGGCATTGTCTATATGACTAATGACATCGTTCATTATATTTTAAATTCTTGGAGTAACTCCAAAATTGTAAGTGAATATTTGAGAACGGTGGCGGATTTCAAATTCAATAATATGACCCTGCGAAAAGTTCGAACTGTAGATACTTTTTGGAACTCTCAACCTGCAATTGCTTATAAAGCAGTCCAGCACAAAGTCGGACAAGAAATTTTACGAATACTTCCTATTTTAATGCAAGTATAATTCTCCATAGTACTATTAGGAAAATTGTTGCCCCTTGGGCGTGATTTTAAACCTCAATCCGCCCATGTGTCTTGCTATATTTTGGCCCAAATGTCATAACATTTTCAGCCAGTAATCAGCCCTGTTACGCTGCCTTGTCTTGTCGTCTTGCGGAGACAGACTGCACTCCATACTGGGTGCTCCGTTCCGTTTTGCTCGCTTAACACATTGTTGATGATCTTCATCAGACACGAGACAAAGTTGGCGGGCATCGTCATCGGCATCGGCATCGGCATCATTTTTGGGCTTGAAATTTTTAAATGATTCAAAAATTGTAAGTAATTACGAGAATGCATTATGATGATGCGAAATTTACGAGTTGGTCTGGTCCCAGAGTAGTCGCAGCTGCCCCCCCTCCCATTCCGAGCTCTACCAGATAAATGTCAACGCGGCGAGTGCGCGCTTCGCGTGCCATCTCTTAAGAAATGGGAATAGGCGGTGGTATAATCTTAGGGGGGATCCGGACAGCGGGGTGTTTGTGTGCCGGATCGGTGGCGGTGTGTGCGATGCATTCAATGCAAATAAATTATGTTACGCTTTATGCAAAATTATTTAATCTTTTGTTTGTCGCGCCTCGGTCGGCATCTGTGGGGCAGCCAGGGACTGTGTCAGCCGCCGCACCAGCCGGCAGCCAGAGCAACCAGAACGAAAACCAGAACAAACAATTGTTTTGCCATAAAAATATGAGACCCGGCGGTTTTGTCTGCGCAAGATAATTAGTTGGCATTATTATACGCGATGGCATAGAAAAATTGTACTTTATGTTTTGTGGCTTCTCGAAAATAAGATAATTAGGAATTGCGTCTAGGCCGAACTTTGAGAAGTGCGATTTGAACGCTACATTAACTGGCAAATGCAGAGAAATTATCGCCCCTTATGGCAGTCCGCGTTTTGTTTTCGCTCAACTAAACGCACACATATATATATATTTTTCAGCTCACTCTCAATCCAAATCTGTTTGCTAAGAAGCCGAAGCAATCGCAGGAGTTGGCGCCAGCGGAGCCAGTCACGCCATCGGCGGCAACCATTAAAGAGGAGCCTGAGTCCGATCGGCTGCTAGTCGACGAGGGTGGCGATAACGCTTCAAATACAGCCGCTACCAACTATCAGCACGAGGCAGCCGCCGATGCGGAGCAGTCACTGATGAAGATGCAGTTGCGTAAGTGCTATCTACTGTGGTACCAGTCCAGCCACCATATACCATTTATATTGGGCGCTGATCCTTCACAGATGCTCATCGCTTTCCAGCTAGCCCGCTGGACTTTCAGCAAGCACTTATGTCGGCAGGCCCGCCCAGCTCTAGCCTCGATCCGCCGGTTAACAACAAGCATTTCTGCCACGTCTGCCGACGCAATTTCAGTTCTAGCTCCGCGCTGCAGATTCACATGCGCACTCATACCGGGGATAAGCCCTTTCAGTGCAATGTCTGTCAGAAGGCCTTTACCACTAAGGGTAACCTTAAGGTGCATTTCTGATGCGGTTTTCAGTCGCCAGAGCCTATATTGATCCGCTTACATTTTCCTGTGCATCTCCGCTTGCTTACTATAGGTTCATATGGGTACGCATATGTGGACGAATCCAACATCGCGTCGGGGCCGCCGTATGTCCCTAGAGTTACCGATGCGCCCTGGACCGGCACCGGGCGCTGCACATGGAGCGCCTTCGGCTGAACAGGAGTTCATGCAGCGCCGACCGGAACTCTTTTTTCCCTATCTGCCACCTTTCTTCAACGGAATTCCACCCAAGGTATGTGCTCAACTATCATATTATCTTTAAAAGCTGTAGAAAATGCACCTCTGCTTAAAAATTGGTATTCGACTGCTTTTCTTGCTCTATTCGTTTTATTGTTTTATCAAAATTGATTTTCATTTATGGAGCTGGACCTAAAAAATCTCATATTTTTTCCTATAATATTCACATGCTTGATTTGTTCGAAATTTGCTTTTGTTTCTGTGGCTTAAGATAGGCATCACCCAAAGGTTGAATACAGAAAATTTCTCTTTACATTGTTCTTTATCTTCAAAATGAATATTAGCCCGGTGAATTAAGTCCTGGCGCGTTTACCAACATACCTCCACCGCACTTTGCAAATGGAGCCAAGTATCCATATCCGCCAGGTCTGCTGAGTTTTCCAAACTTCTTAGGTGGCGCTGGTCTTCATCACCAGTATGCCCATGGAATGGAGCGCAGTAACAGCAAGTCACCAACGTCAGAGCCGGCGCAAAGCCCTGCATCTCGCGAGGATGACGGAACTTTAAGTAATACCATCTGGCATCCGTTGAGCAGTATCAAGATGGAAAACAATCAAAATGAGAGCATTGGCAATCAGAGCGAGAAAGAGCAGGAGGATAATGGAGGCGTGGATGTAGACGCCGAACCTGAGGCTGGAGCCGAGGAGTCCGAATTCCAGGGCGGTGAGAAATAACTGTAAAAGATCGCCTTACAGTCTATTGGAATACACATGGTTTTTGTGGAGTACATATCTTGAGCATAACACTACGCTAAGCTTGATCTAGCACACATATACGATATATCCTCTGTGTCTATATACTATAGTATGAGTAATTAATGGCGATTTTGAGGCATTTAAATGCATTAAGTATAGCAATAAGTTGTATAAATTGCAAAACGTGAGCAAAAACAAAGAAGACCGAACCTGGCGGCACACACACACACACTCACAATTAACTAATTTTATGGCTACACATAACACTTAACAATACAAAAACAAAAACAAAAGTAGATACACGTAATGTAAACTGTGGTAGTTGCATATAAAAGCGAAATCGAAAATCGAATGATCAAAAATAAAACCGTGCGAGCAAATTGCAAACCTCGAGTGACATTTAAATTTCAGCAATTGGAGAGGATTTTCGATAATGATGGCATTAATGGAATTTTTTTTTGCTAAAGAAAATATTGAAAATTGTTATTTTTTTTCGATTTTTGTGAATTTTCTATACCCTGGGTAAAAATGTATTTTCTACCTCTTAATGTATATATATTTTTTGATCAGCATCAATGACCGTCTGTCCGTGATTCCGTCCGTCCGTTCATCTGGCCGTGTGTCTACTACGATCTCTGAACCTTTTAGAGCTAAAATTGTGAACGTATTTCCTACTTGAACTCGCGCCGTGCAAGTATGTTTCCGATAATCGACGCCCTATCTCCAAGCAATCGATGAAAATCGATATTGAATTTCTGTTTTTTGGGCAAATATCTTAGGTCTTGAAAGCTAGTCATTCAATTTGATCAAAATATACAGATATTCCCCTGCCAACTGCTTCCCTTAGCTCGTTCAGGGTATCCCTTAGTCGTACCCTATTTTTTTTTCGTTTTTTGGAAGTGTTTTGAAATTTGTGTTAAATTTATATTTGAGATTTCTATCTGCTATAGTCAATTATTTTGCTGAGTTTCAATCCTTTCTGGTTTGTCGTCTATTTTGATTATTTATGCATTTCTTAAACTTGATGAAAACCATTTTTGAATTATTTTTTCATGTATAATAAATGTGTTTCGTATATTGTTAATTAGGCTGTTGTCATTTTGGCAACGCTTTTGTCTGCCAGTGTAACAAATTATAATCGCCAGGCCGCAACAAGTTAATGTCTCTACGAAATACAATTGTTTTCTGAATATGACAACTAGGCATAAGGCATAAAAATCGTAAAATAAAGTAAGCATGGGTTTATAAATATCATATATGTTTCCTACGAATTCTAATATTTATGTAGATTTTGCATGCTTAAAGTGTAAATGTACATTTATTTTCGTGCGCCAAATTAAGAGTATGATATGACACCATGAGCTATGCGCGCTCTTCTAAAATAATGGGTTACTTTATTTGTGTTATATTCTGTTTTTAGTTTCGTGGCACCTTAAAGACAATTTCCACTATTATAAACACCTCGCCTTGCCATTTTCAGTACCAGCTACGGCTCTAGCATTTTTCATGTACTTTGCAATTTCCCATTTTCCACAATGTTGCGATTTTCCAAAGAAATTTATGTCATTTCATGGACGCACATATTTCATATGCGGTTACTGCACGGACACTGATACCAGACACTGCAGACTGTCAGGCGAACTAACAATTGGCAAGGCAGGGGTCGAGGCTGGTGGCAAATGCGATGTCGACAGGGCGCAGAACTATTATCAGGCCCCTAGACTAAAATGTGCCGAATGCGAGCTATTAAGTGGCAGCAAAATGACGAACAGAACTGGCAAGGAGGTAACTCGAAATGCCTTGTGCATTAAAATGAGGAATGAGAAATTGTGACATGTGACATGTCTGGAGCGCAGCCTGGCCGGGAATTCAAGATCAAAATTTTGCGTAGATACTTATGGCTATTTTATAATCTCATTTTGTTCGTTTAGCCCAGTTTCATCAACTAAATCCCCAAGTGGCCCGACGATTTGCTCTATGTACAATTCATATTTATGTTGCGTGCAATTTGTTTGATCTCAACGAGTAATTAAATTTCGTCTGCATATGCGAAATTATGAGAAACGACTGTTGCAAATGCGACATAAATAAATGTTCAAATGTCGGGAAAACCTATCCACTGCGTTTGACGGAAAGCGCCCTAGTGTCGGAGGCAACTTTGAAGTGTTTATAATTGAGTGTGTGTGTGTGTGTGTGTGTGTGTGTGTGTGTAGCCGGCGCTAACAGCAACTATTTGGAGTACTTGGAACCGTTAGCACCAAACTGGGGATCCATAGACTCTGTGGTTTTATCGCCCACCTTTGGCAATGGCCATTGAAATGAAAATAAAAATGGAAATGGGAGCAAACGCAACATGCGGCCATCGTGTAGCGCGTTTAATGGCACCCACAAATTCCGTGCTAATTGTTGCACCGGGAACTGGTTTGCAGCAACTTGCAACGGCCAGCGCCCAGTGCCCATTGCCATGGCCATATCCGTATTCCAAGATCGGCAAGCGTTGCTAGCTGCATATATGCCCCTGCTGCGAAGTTCGAGTAGTTTGCTTCAATTTTGCCTCAATTATTTCGCTTGTTTGTTTATGGTGGAATCTTTAATCTCAGTGCTAGTGTCGCTGACAACCTTGACGTCGGCGGTGCGGCATGCTCCTACAACTTTTCCAGCTTCAGCCTCGGCTTCTGCAGTTGTCTCATGCGTGGCCACGATCTAGACAACACCTTACCAGCGGCAGCCGAACGGATTGAGGACCGAGCGGCAGTCTTTATATCTATGATCGTCGCATTCGACTAAGCCGGCTACGAGGTAGGCGAACAAGTGTTTTGTAAAATTGATTATTCATGTTGTTGTCCTTGGCAGGATGTGTTGTGGTTCTCTTTGTTGCCGTTATAGGTGTTTAGTAACTGGTTTATGGGCTTACAATTTTATTTCTTCATAAAAAGTATATATATATAAAACTCCGATGTTTTGGTAGAATTGTCCGATTTTTGATTCCCGAAAACTCTAGTATTCCCTTTTTTAACCCATTTTCAATGCATTATACTGAACTCAATTTCATAAGTATAGTCCGTAGCACAGCTTATATCTGGTTTTACTATACCCCCCCTTTCAGTTCCGCCGCTTGAGCCACGCGAGCATCGATAAGGCGAGTGATCGCATAGCATGCGAATAGGTTTGGCCTTTTGCACAATGCACGTGACTGCAACATCATCTGCCGCAGCTAAGCCTTGCCTCTGCGCTACCTTCTCATACAGCTGGCCGAGCTTAGCAGGTTGCTTGCAGTACAGCTACAGTTGCCGTGGACGCGAAATGCAATTTGTCCGCCACGGCAGTTGGTTAAAAGCGGAAGCGATAACGTAAAACAAATTAAGCCATGTCCTGCCAAACAGTTCAGAAAGACTTTATTTGTTGAAGATGAAGTTAGTTGCTGAGCTGGCGACTTTATTTCGAAATTATATTCCAATCAGACATGCACATAAAACCAACTGGCATCAATAAAGGTCAGAGCCAATATGAAGTGGGTTGGTTGGGCTGTATTGACCCTCGGGGTTGTCCAGTGAGTGCTAAATTATTAGAAAAAATATTTTTTGTTCGATTGACGTTAGGGATTTGACCGGTAATACTCGGGTCTCCAAAGTGTTTCTCCATATTCAATGTTCAATGTTGCGGGCACAAAGGGATGAGTTTTATGACAATGGCTGACAAGTTTATGTGACCCGAGCTGCACTGCCTTGTGCAGGGGCCCTCCCAGCAGTGCCATAAAGACAACTTGCAACAAATCCAGGAACTTCAAGGTGTTTGGAGCTGGGCGCAATGCAAAGCTTGTGCACAACATTTAATGGCAATAATAAAGTGGCATAACATTCAACACTTAGTCATTGGCTTTCTTGCTGTCTGGCCGCATTTATCATACACCCCGGCGGCCCTGCAGACGACAGACTATTTTGACAAGTTATCAAAATGAAATGTAGCCAACAAGTTGCCAGGCAGACGGCAACCACACAAGTAAACAACCAGCAACAGCTACAGCATTAACATCGCGTCGTCTGTCAGCCAGTTCCAGCCAGACTCTACCCAGCCTCCTGCCCCGACCATTTTGTCATAATATAACCGAGTAGCGACCCTAGTGTTCTTAGCTCTAAGTTCTTGGCAGTCGGCACTCGGTAGACGACAAGTATATTTATGTTATGATTTGAATACCGCTAATGACAGCTTGGCTGCAACGTTTTGGGTGGCACAGTGCAGGGAGCCGCACAGTATCTAGCTCAGATACGTCTAAATTTGTGGCGAGAGCAGTTTTCAACAATTTCAGCGCTTTCATCAATCCATCGCATTGTTGTAGGTATTTTCACACCTCATCATTTTTCACCAAATTATATAAATTGATTTCTCTACTCGCACGAAAATTCTTTAGTTTGCTGCACGGGAAAGCCTCGTTATTACAAATAATCGTTTACATAGAAGCCTGCATACTCACAACCATTTCTGGTGAAAAATCAAAAACGATTCGTTGAGTTGTGGTCGTGCAGTGTAATGCTAAGATAACAAAATAATATGAGGCTTTATAAAATTATTGAAGCAAGTACATAAGGTACAATGTTTGATAAACATAGACAAAAATGTTTATGGCCAAGGCAACTACCTATCTTCTTGAAAATAATGTTTCTATATAGGAACATTTGAATGAGTTAAAGTGAGGTAGATATTCATTTAAATGTTTTTTCTGCTATCAATATGCAAATAATTTAAAAGTACCATATCATAATTTTGCCCTTAATTCACATTTAATTCACAATTTGCAAGCATTTATTGATTTCCTGTGTTACTGCTTTCTTGACCTCAACCCATTATTCAAGTAGCGTGGCCTACAAGGCCGCCAACAAAATGATTTGTTTGAGGTTTGATAAGCGGATGAAAATGTCGTTGGCATCAACCAAGTATCTTAAGATCTTCGCATCGACAGCAGCAGCAGAAACAACAATAACTAAATGAGTATGGCTACATGCGCAGGATGAGGATGAGGCTGAAGCTGAAGATTAAACAGATGGTTGCTGCTGCTAAAGTTGGATGACAATCCATGTTGCTGTCGTCGACAACGACGAGTGATCCACATCCACTTGCAATCGGCGCAATCAATACTTTGTTAGTTTTGAGCAACATGTTGCTGCGGTGAATGTTGTTGTTGCTGTTGTTGCTGTTTGGCTGCGTGGTTACTCGGTTGCAGTTGTTGCTGGCGATGTTTGGTATGCAAAAAGGCAACTTTTGTTATCTTCATGACAATCATTGGCCCGGCTCATCTGTGTGCCACAATTGCTCGTTCGTTTTGCGCTTGATTGTCTTCTGCTGTCTCCCCGCCTACCCTATGCTGCCTACAGTGAAGCCATCGTCGACGACAACGACGACGCTGACGAGGGAGATGATGATGAGAACGGCGGCACGAAATGGCGACCGATGACGGGGATTTCGCTGATATGGCGGCTCTGCAGTTGTCGATATCGATGTTGATGATTATTGTAGTTCAATATTTGCCTTATGGAAGGAGGCCTCAACTGGGGCCAATAGAGAGGAAGCGGCATCTCCACTACTTGTTTGCCGTTTTTGTCGCTGGACAGTTTTTTTTTTTTGCTTCTGTAGTCTTCGCTGCCAGTTGTCAGTAGCATTCACATCAAATTAAATTGTATTTTGCAAAATAAATGAAATTAAAAGGAATGGCAACGGCGAATAAGCAGCGAGATGCGAACAGCTCCCGACTCAGTGGCAGCAATGGCGACAAGTGGAGCGAGCCCGACTCTAAGTCCAGCTTTGAGTTCGACTCCGATTTGGTATCCTCTCCTCACAAGTTCATATTGAATTTATGTTTCTTGTTTCATTTTTTCACTGTTCGTATGTCCGCGCTTGCGTCTCTGACTGGACAAGTATATATGTAACTATAGAGATACATCTGTTTGTGTGTTTGTTTCTATGTGTGCGTGTGTGTGTGTGTGTGGGTTTGTGCATTCCATTTATAGATGGCGACGCTTCCTTGCCTCCGAGTTGCAGTGGGTCCAATTGAGATGTACATTTTGGTCGCAAATTGGTACACTTGAGCAACAGTCCATAGACTTGAATAAATGCAATACACAGACAGTGTTAGTAACTGATTTCGTTGCAAATCAAGATCCATTAAATATCATTCAGGCTTACAGATAATATACAATTCAAAACTGGGTCTACTTTCCGTTGAGAAGATACTCGAATCGAATTAAAACAAATTGGAATAATTTATTTAAAGAATTGTATTGTAATAAATTACACGCACCCAGCTAGTTATTTTCCAAATGTGTTTGTCAAACTTTTTAAATAACTTATTGAAAAGGTGACTTCAAATAATTATTGTATGTGCATATTTATATCCGGGCAGCTGTCATCATGGGATATGTCAACTATTTAACAGGAAGGTGGATGCTGTAGACCATGGCATCTATGTGTTGATTGAAAGAGTTTCAATTGCTTGTTGGCATATTTAACATTCTGCCCAAGGCTTATATTAACACTAAATTGGGGCCTGGCAATTAAAAATTATTCATATTTACAGTGAGTCGGTTAACCGAAATCACATGGGTACGGCAAAGCCAACTAAAATTTGTACATTTATTATTTGTGGCTCTGCCACACACTAAAACTCCCTCTACGCACTTAACCAAATGAGCAGTGCAGTCCAATTAAAATAATAATTACATTTCTAATGTACTCGTAACTACAATTTGTGCATGTGTTTATGTGTGTGTTCCAGTGTCGAGTGCAAATAGTGAGCCCAGCCAGACTCATCCATAGAATTGCATAAATATTAATGACGTCGTCGAACCCGCATCTACATGGCGGCATAGGGACAGTGGGAGGTAGTTGTGGGCCTTAAAAAGGAAATAAATGTGCGTGTCGCTAAATGTTTGCACTTTACACACACAAGCTGCACCATATGCACACACAACACACACAACTGCAAATAGAAAATAATACAATTTGCAGTCTGTGGTCAAACGTTCATATTTACATTCTAAATAAATAATATTCTAATTTGACAAAGTAAATGGTAGTTTTAATAAGTTGTTGTAGTCCAGTTGTCCAATGTTAATTTCATTCTTGTTTAACTAGCTGAAATGCTCATTTCGGAGGAGACGCCGAAAAATTACAATTAGGGGGATAGCTACACATTTAAGGTAACAGTCCAGGAGTCGTCAACCAAATAATCAGGAGGATATTCGATTTGTTTTAAGTTTGTTAACAGAGTATTTTCCAGTTGTTCGTACCTGACTGAAAAATTCTTTTAAAGTACTTCTTTTGAACTGAGGTACTGAAAATTAGTGTCTATGCTTTCCCTTTAACGAATGCTGTATTATGTCCATCAGTGTTGAGGGTGAATATGTTCGCCGATCCGTTGCCTGAATTAAAATGAAAACCGCTAGTACCGCAGCGGTCACTTTGTACGTCAGTTCGTGAGTTAGGGTGGCTGACTAGGAAAATTACTGTTGCTGTAAGTATGAAAACAGCAATTGGTATATTCAGTATACAGAAAGGGGAGCCAGACAGGAACAGGACCTCCTGCGTGTAATATAATTATGCTAGAATGTGCCCGATGGAAGTAGCCCCATTCCCGATGCTAGACGTGTGCAACTGGGCATATACTCGTTGGTATTGCAGAGGTAAGCAGTGTGTCTGTCTGCCAGACGGGGGATTATGGCGGCTCCAGTTGGAGCCGTGCACAACATTTCATATGCAAAGCCGGGTCGCGAGTTACAGAAGTGCGGGACAGCAACATGCATCGACCTAACCACCAATATAGCCAACCACAGAGCGTGGCCAAAGGCAATGAGTTAAGTGTGCGACATAAACAATTTGCATTTTGAGCACTCGACGCAGTTGTGATTGGTTATTAGCGTTACCCTTGGATATGATATTATTTGTGAATTGTATTTGTGTGAAGGGAGTGCATGCATTAAAGTGTGTGCAATACTATCCTTTGTTGTGGCAGGGCCGCATCTCTCGTTGGATTGAAGAGATATTAAAATGAATATTTTGCGGATAACATGAAATTGAAATTGTGTTCGACCACGTCGTCTGCTCTTTGTGATGACCGCCTGCTTAACTGGACGCTGGCTGAACCCCAGATTCGGCTGCAGCCTCGTCTTCATACTACAGCTCATCCGCATTCGCAGCATCGCCGGTTGCTTATGGCGCAGCTGAATTCCGATAACAATGAGAACAAGGCGGATGACGACCACAATGATGATGATGGCGGCACCAACCAAAAACAGAGGCCTGTGCAGGGCGCAAAGAGGCAGGAATAGAGACAGCGCCAAGTGGCGTGCTCCATCGGCTTCCATTTGACGCTATCGTGTAATGTGTTTAGGCTGCGAGTGGCGACTGCCAACTGGCAACGGGGCACACAACAGAAGCAGAAGCACTTTCAGCTTCCAGCGGCTTCTCTGTAGATTTCCATATTAATAAATGGCCACGGCTGCTGCAACGGAGTTGAGAGCGGAACGGAGTGCGGTGGAGCGGGGTGGAGTTATTTATTGGCAGGCGTGCTCTCAATAAAATTATGGTTCATGCAGATTATTCGAGTGCAGAAACTTGTTTGCCAAGCAGTTATGCTAAAGGAGCCATGGAGGGGATGGATGTAAGAAGTCAAGATTATTGTGGCCATCTTGTGAACGGATGAGAGCGAAGACTAGTGCTGGGTCATGAAATGGCCAGCAGCGTGTGGATGTATCAAAATGGAGTGAATACCGCAAATTAAGAATCGTTGAATTAAAACAATTGAGAGTTATGGAAGATAAATAAAGTTGAACATACTAGGTCAATATTTATTTCTCAATATAGAAATTAAATCAGTGTTTCTTCATTGTATGTATATGTTTGTTTTGTATTGAGTTATCGATATGGTCATATAATGTTATTCCCAAATTGTCGTCCACACCATTCTATTCGATTATATTTACCAATAGACCCAACTCAAGCCGAAATGCAGCTAGGAGACATCCTTGGTCGCTGTTGTTTCCAACACTTTGGAACTAATTAACGTTCGTTTCCAGAAGCAGCTGCGCTACGATAAATGTTAGACCTGAAGCCTCGATCGGAGGAGTCTCAGCATTTACTTGCGGCGCTATTCAAAAATTTGCATATCAATTTGTTCACAAAAAAAGAAACAAGAAAAAAAAAAAAACCAAACAAAAATGGCGTAAAAACTGAAAATAGCGCTTAAACTGCAGAACCCGAACCGAAGCAGAAATCATGATTCTCATTATTTTGCTAAAAACGCCACTCTAACAGGGAACGGGGATAAACTGAATGTCGGGCTGTAACTGGTACAGGGACACCGCAGAGCATTTAAGAGCAAAAGCGGCAGACTCAAATGAAGATATGCAGATTAAAGCAGCGAGATGGCCAAAACCGCAGAAAAAACAGCGTCAGTGTGGAAAAATTACGATGAGCATTACCAGCCACATTATAAGGTAACCACAGCCTGGCGCTGGGCCGGGTCACAATGGGAATGGGCTACTGTAGCCGACTGGCAAGCTCAGTCGCAGACCAATTCTGAGATATGAACAAGCTGCTTTCTGTCTGTTGTGAGGGCCATATGAAAAGCGCAGTAGCTGAAACGTGGTAGCATGGTACCCAAGAATCGAACCAGAAATATAGCATAAGAATGCACTTGGTCTGGCTTTGGGTCTTGCAGGCACATCTCTACGAGCCGATAACAATACTACGTGCGCCACGACCAACTGTAGCGGCCAACTGGACATACTCACATCGAGGGCGGGGGCGGATTTTAGCTGGCATCGTTTGCTCCAGCAATTGTTCTCGCCGCGTGCGCTTTTCTTTTCCGTGTCTAGTCTAAGGCTTGGACCAGCAACCAGGCCCAGTTGGCCTCGATAAGCGTCAGCGTGCCAGTTAATAGCAACAAATAAATGTAACTAAATGCTCGGCATGGCGGCCACCATAGCCATATGAAGATATCCAAAACGACGACACAATGCCACAGTTGCCTTTGGCATATGGTCGCCACTTGGTCCACCGCCTGCTCCTTAAAACTCCTTAGATTCAAAATTGCAGCTGTAGTTGTCGCTGGGTTTGTCTCCACATATTTCTGGTAGCTGCGCTATTGTCATTGTTTTGGCCAGCGCCAGGCTAACACGAGGCATTGTCTTCCTGTTGGCCCCTTATCGTGTACTAAGTATCTGACTCAGCCTCTTACTCTGGCATCTGTGTTTCGGATTTGCCCAAATTTGGTGGCCACCGTGTGATATAATTCATAATTCATTCAAGGTGACATCTTTATTTGAATTTCGACTATGTTTAGATTCGTGTGTAGAATATGATTGCAGTATAGTTCATTGACGGTGACAATGTAGACTTTGTATATATTTGTGTGGCATTATTCGGCGTTGACAATCACGATCTTTATTAAATCTACAGACATTTCTCATATGAGTAACATATTTAAATATATATGTACTTTAAACAAAAAGGATTCTCTAGGCACTCTTTCAAGATAATTTTATTTGCAACCGCTATACAAGTGTGCAGAGTGCTGTTCATTTGCGTTTCATATTTGGGTAACTCATGCCGTATTTCCCGCAATTACCAAAGCCGCTTAACACGCTATCCATTCATCAAATATCTTTCAACACGTTTCAAGCGCCTTCGCTAATTGCAAGTCCAGTGCCCCGTTTGGGAACCAGTCACCACCAGTCACAAAATCTTATCTGTGCATCTCGTGGTAACGCCAGGTTGTCGCCAAGTGCGGAGTTGCATGTCTGGGCCAGGCGCGAAAAGTGTTCAACTTAAAATTTAATAAGCGCAAACAACTTCATAAATTCAGTCGGCGCGAAGTCGAGGCGAAGGAACAGTAGACATTGCAAAAAGATCGCTGGCAGACACCTGACACCCGGACCTGAGATCTGGGATCGGGAACTCGCCGCTGACTTCTAGCGTGTGGAGAAGGTAGCCGAGCACGACAACGTACGACGATACATTTAATATTTAGCCATTAAATGCATTTATAATGGGCTTATCGTGCTCGGATCAACTTTATCACCCAATTTAGCGCGACTTCAAACTTTTATTATGCGCACTTTGTGCAAAACGCCACCCGGTCCAAAGCCACAGCAAAAGACATGCAAGACATAATGGCTAGAGGACAGACGCTGTAGAGAACAAATCGCACATATCAGTTCAAATGTCACAACAACGTACAAGGCTTCAATGTAATAGTAAATAATACAAGCGATATAAAGATTTTATGCCAGGACTTGCGTTACATTATGGCAAGAAATATAATTAAAGGTGGGTTGCAAAAAAACTTAAATACAAAACCGGACGGTAAAAACATTTTGTCATTTGGAAATATACGATAGTAGGTAATATACAGAAACATTTTTAAGTATTCAACACGTTTCTGTTGTAGGCCAAGCTTTCGCGACACTAATTACCAAACACAATTAAGCACTTTGATTTCATTCAGGCCAGTCGAATAATCAGTCCCATGAATTCTCTCACGATCTTTATCCGGGGCTGTAGTGCGGCTTAATTAAGAGGGCATCACGGGAAAGGGTGG